ACGGCTTTCAGTCATTTCGGTGCACATCGCGTCTTAGTTTCGCTTTCATTGCATTACCCCGTGAATCGTCAGAGGACTTGTGCATTCTGCGATTGGTTCCCTAATATATGGCTGAATCTCGTCACCCGATGACTTTAGAGGAGGCCTGCGGTATTCCAGTGACTTTGTTCCACATCTCCGTTTTGGTATCCTGTCATTGCCTACCGGCACAATTTCCGTTCATCTGCTCACTTAGGGGGTTGATGATGAACGTACAGTGGTGCTCATTGCTTGCACATTGTTCTACTCACACATGCGCGAATTTAACCCTGTGAAATTCACTACTATTAGGTTGTACTTTATCGTGCATAAATAAGATAACGCGTTGTAACCAGCTACTTGAGGATCAGGTGAGCATTACAATTGCGTTGTTTGTGAGCCGCTTCTGTGCTTCGATCCTCTGTTGTGTTCATGAATTCGTACTGTTGGTGAGACGCGTTCAGGTGTTGACGCAGCTATCAAGTTTTATACTTTTTCGCGCACGTCTTTGCTGCCTTCATCGTGGTAAGTTATATTTGATTTTATTGCAAAAAGATCACAGGCTGTTGTTGAAGTATGAGGAAAAAGGATGAAAATCGATTTTTTAAAATTGCCGTCACAAGTCCTTTCGCCCCTACTAGTGGCTCATCATAACAGTACGTGTGATTAGAATAGTGGTTTTAATCATATTATCATAAATCCTTTGGATGATTGGTTTACGCAGGTAACTTATTCTCTTGCGGGGAACAGCCGAGTAAAAGGTAGAGTAGTGCTAATAGAGTTATGATGAATAAACGAACTTGTCGTGTTTACACAATAGTCGGTGATTTTAATATTCCTTGATCACTGTAATTTTTGCACAGCTTCCTGATACACTTACACAATCACAAATAGGCTGTTACTATCCACCTTTTCAGTTCCCAACGCTTTTTGTTGTTTATGGCTGTTTTCGGCATTGAAATTAGCTAAACTAACAGTTCAGCATTTGGGCTTTCACTGACCCGGTGTTCCCGTTGTCGCAAATTCGTAGACTTCGAGTGAACATGGATCTGGCCAAAATTGTCTACTCGTTCATTGTCGTACGTGATCCTGATCTGCCCGGTTGTATGGTTAGAAATACCACTATTCCGGAAGAATTGGGTCGAATCTCTTATCTGATGTCCGACAAGACAGGCACCTTGACACAAAACGAGATGGTTTTCAAAAAATTGCATCTGGGCACGGTCGCGTTTGCACCGGACTCAATGGAAGAGGTTGTTCAAGGTTTAAGACAGTATTACGAATCTACTACAGCTGGTCGTTCGGGGACAGAGACCGGAGGACGTCAAATACGTCGGACCGGTAATGAACGTATGGCCGAGGCGGTAATGGCGGTAGCCGTGTGCCACAATGTTACCCCAATGAGTGAAGACAATTCAGGTGTGGGTGAGGCACCAAGTGATGTGAAAAGTCCCTTGGACATGGTAAGTTTCAATCATGTCATCTGTTTTCTTCTTGGACTTTAAAAGGGATTTGATCTCATTTTTTACCGGTTATTTGTTTTTTTCATTACAGTCAGAAGGAGTTCAGACAGAGACAGATTCTTTTGAACCCCAGGGATGTAATCGGGTCGGTAAACCACTCGCGGTCCACATAAGGGAATTTTCTAAAAACCCAAATTCCAACGATACGAAGAAAAAGCGTACGAACCACACGCCTTCCTGGTCGTGATAGTAGTCATCGGCTCGATTGGGCATTGAGGTGTTCTGGACACCTTGGACGTTTGACTTCGTCCGAAAAGTGTATGATCTGATGAAGCGGACACCGATCCCCAAAGGATTGCGGTTTTCACATAAACAAGGAAGAGTAATCAT